TGAACCCCTTGAGGCAACACAGAGGAGGCACTGCTTTGTAGTTAGTTTCAAAAAGAAACCATAGAGACATCCATGAAAATTTGGAACTCCCCATGACTGGTTGTCCATTTCTGAAATACAAGTTCGTGTCTGTTGCTTTGATTATTTTTTTGCCAAAAACTACTTTTTATTTGTTTACTTTGGCTCCCGTAGTAGACTGTGTGAGAAATGATAAAAGCAGAGACTTTGTGGAAATATTTGCAGGACTTCAGAGATCTTAGAGCTCTGGAACAGCAGCAAGCAAGACACAAATAAATACATGCATGTTTACTTTCACAGAAACGAGGCTTTGATGATTCTGAAACTATTCACAGATTTCACCCAAACCTGCCAGATAGTTTCAGCAGCTAGAGGAACATGGCATAAGTAGAGCAGGAAGTGCTGACATTACTTTCACACCGAACAAGGAACCGAACCCAGCCTGGTTCTGGACTGGGGGAGGGAGAACCTACGTGGCCCCACAGCCCTTGGGAGAGCCTTCTACCCCTGGGGCAGCACCGTGTCGGGTGTTCAGGCTTCTGCATTGCCTGGAGTTGCTCTCTGTTGCAGAACAGAGGCTGCGGTGCACGCTTTTATCCATACCTTGGGCAAGTACTCTCCGTTACTAATGTTTTAATAATTTACTACTAAAGCAGCTTTGGCTCGTTCCTGTGCGTTGTGTAATAGGAGTCTTTTCACGTAGGTGGATAAAAATCCCTCCCCTGACTGTGGTCCATCGTGCCAGCTCTGTTCAGCACGGGCCATTGGCCTCCACACGTGCCTTTCCAGTGCACCCAGGGGTGTGTAAAACACGATGTTTCACAGCAGTGTTCAGGCTCTTGCCCCAGAAGGTGTTGGTTCGTGCCTGTCAGAGAGCAGAACCCCCTAAAGCTGTGTGGCCATCGGGCAGCAGCATGCAGATTCCACTGCATGTTCCTCTGCTGCAGGGATAGTATTTTACATCCACCACCGACTCATGAATCTCTGCAGGACAGTGAGCATGAAGTCTGAATCCAGAAAGGAGGATCCACTCTTTGCTGCCTGTCGTTGGAGGACTTAAAAAATAACTCAGCCATTTATCAGGTGTCTTTTCCAGTCCTCAGCGACCGATGATTTTGCTCCACACTCCATGTGCGATGTCAGCTCCAGGTGGAATGGTGGCTGGTGCAGGACCTGGGTTGCCCTCCATGGGAAGACCTCTGAAAGAGGCTGCAAGCAGTCAGCGAAGGTAAGAAACGAGTGTATAACCCTCTCTGTCCCTTGCAGTGGTTCTGCCGCACATCGGGAGTGCCACGTACGCCACGAGGAGCACCATGGCTGTCCTGGCGGCCAACAACCTGCTGGCCGGGCTGCGAGGGGAGCCCATGCCCCACGAGCTGCTGCTGTGAGCCCGAGCCCCGCTGCGGCAGGGCCGGGTGTTGCCTTCCCCTGCAGAAGCCTCGCGGACCGGTCCTGTGCCTCTGCAGCGGCGTGCCAGCAGCGCCCGCGGCCGGGGGG